AAACAATATTTTAGGACATGAGATACTTCTAAAAAAATATTTTAAAATACTGGACAAAGTACAAGTTAATTTAGCATATCAATGTTGTTGGAAAATATTTCAGAATATTGAATAGTTATTCATTCTTTTGTTAAAAAGAGCCTAATATATTAACAGTTTTCTTATAGGAAACTCGACTGTCAATCTCCGCGCTTTGCCATCAAACGGACATCCATTGTGACGGTCAAAATTCAATTTTAGACTTGAAATGAAAAGGGGAAAATTACAAATAAATACCCCACAATATGTACAATTGTAATTTGAGACCCTTAATATAGAAAATAGCAAACAAGGATCTGGTCCCATTTTTGCAAATATGAAATTGTGGTGAAATATTTGAAATACCCCTCAATCAAATGACAAGTCAACTATAAAAAATGATAAGTTCACTTTAACGAATAACAACTTTAGTACACCAAATTACAACTTGACTGAAAATATGTCAAATAACGAGTTGAGTATGGGAAATGACAAGTTTATTTTAGCGAATGACAACTTCAGCAGATCAAATCACCATTTGATTGAGAGGCATTTTAGACATCTCACTCATATTTCATATTTGCAAAATTAGGACCTAATTGTTATTTGTTATTTTCCATGTTAAGAGTCCCAAGTCATAATTTTATATTTTAAGGGGTCTTTGTTTGCAATTTTTCCAATGAAAAATCTTCCCCCAGTTTAAAAGAAAAAGAAAATAACCCTGGGCTTTTCCGTCTTTTCGGGTAAGCTGTGAAGTGACTAAATAAGGGCACTAATAATAAATATATGAGCAGAGCAGGGCCCAAAAGTTGCACAACGCGGTCCACCCACTGACTTCTGGAAGTTGAGAGACAGCCGCTGGGGAGTTATTAATTACAGTGTTTTATTGATTGCAAGTTGCATGATGAAAATTAAAAATTGTATTTTTTTTTTACCTGAAAAAGTTGAATCTTTCAAAAGAATTCTTTTGGCCATGCACACCTATTTTTTTTATTAGAAATAATCCTATTTAAAATATTAAGTATTAAATGTGGGTATATTTCTTAATAAGAATTTAAACCTTGATTCATCATGGTATAAGATACTACTTCCGGTCTTTAATATAAGACCTTATTTGAATTTTATTTTAGTTCTAAATATAAGATCTCAATTCACTTTACCTCTTATATTTATTCATTTTTTTCAATAAAGTCTTTTTAATAATAGTTTTAACCAATACAGTTAATTAACAAAGATCTTTTAGAAAAAAAACACATATTTAATACAAATAACTAACTTAAATTATTTTTTAATTTATTTAAATTCGTCAATTAATTTTTATATTTAGGACCAAACTTATTATTAACCATTTCTACTAGATACGGGCTGGCTTGAGTGTTTCAAATTTATTACAACCAAAAATAACGACCGGAATTGTACTTTTCACCGGGCATATTGGCCGCAGGACCACTTATGGTGGATCTCAATAATTCAATGGCATAGTGGAAGGCCATTGCATTTATCAACTCATAAATATGGACAACACAAAAGTTTCCATTCAATTCCAAATCGATCTAATGTTACTAGTGTGTAAGGTTAAAAAACTATTTATATAGCGGCCAAAAAAAATCTGTTTGTATAAAAATAGTTCTAATTTTGCATGCACAAATTTCTTATGTAAATATATATTTATTATTAAGTCGGATTTTATCCGATTGATATATGGTTTTTTTACATCAACTTAAGCCTGCTTACGTTTGGACAAACTTAAATTTTTAATATAAAATCTTATTTGACTTTTATTTTGATCTTAAGTATAAGACCACAATCCATTTTGTCTATAATATTTATGCATTTTTTTAAGGTGGTTCTTCTAATAATAGTAGTTCTAACTAATACATTTAGCAAGGATATTTTAGAAAAGACAATACTTGTTTATTTCAAATAACTAACTTAACATATTTTATTAATCTTTTTAAATTAGTCAATTAGTTCTTATAATTAGGATCAGAAGTAGTATGTATAGTATAATATGATGACAAAATATTTATGGTGTATTATTGTTATTGTTATTGTTACCCTAAGAATCTGGCTCTGACTCTGCTCTCCATTCCTTCTTGACAAAAGTGAAAATAATAATAACAATAATAATAATAATAATAATAATCTTTATTGGTCTGGATTAACGACCAGGAAACTCCGCGGTGAAAAAAGGAATAAGAAACCGAAAGAGAAAATAATTGATGAGAGAGTTATCATGAAGTCCTCAAAAAAATTTAATTATAAAAAAATTTCTGATAATTGATTAATATGAACCTATTATCATTTTCTATCTTGAACATGTCATTACATACTGTTTAAAATTTTAAAGCAATTAATTTTTTTAAACTTGATTATAATTCCCTTGTTGATTTCTTTTTGTCATGTCACGTCTAAATTTTAGTATTTGGATCATGTTTAGAGGCCCAGACTTGCATCCCCACGTCTAAACCCAACTCACTTACATTTTTTTGCAGCAAAAAAAACTCATTCGTACAATCGACTTTTGGGTCCCAAGTAGACTCGTGGAATGAAGCTCATGAATCTTGCTTTTAACGGCGGGAAGAGCAATGGTGCGGTTTGAATTTTCATAAGAAAGACCAAGTTGAGGAAATAAATAGACTAGTAAATATGAGCAAACAGCCAAAAGCTTTTGGCACTTACTTTAAAAATACTATAGTTGTATGATTTCTAATTCATATATATTTTTTTATTTATTAAATATATTTAATTAAGTATTTTAGTGTTTTTGATTTCTTTCTAATAATAAATTAATTTTTTATTTTTAATAATTTTATTTTCAATATTTCTTTTACTATTGCCACATTATATACATGTAATATTAAATATGTATTACTTAATAAAATTTATATCATTTTCAGTCATTTTATATCTAAAATTACTTTTTTATTAATCATCCAAACAAATTGTAATTTTTCAAACTGACTTTTTAAAAGTAAATTTAAACATAAATTGTATTGTATTGTCTGACTTTTACCCAATTTGACTTTTGTAAAAATCAGATTGAAAAAGGTTATTTACACTATTGCTAATCTAAACATACCCTTAACTTTTTGTCCAAAAGCTTGTTTTCTTAGTGCCTGTTTGGGAGCGCTTAAGAAATCCACTACAAGGACGTTTTCATGTAAATTGAGATAAAACTGTTTTCACATACTTACTTCGTATTCCATAAATCACTATTGAAAAGCTACTTATAAGCTGTTCCAAACGAGCCCTTAAAAGCCACCGGAAGCATGAGCTAAAATGAATTTTCATGGCTTTTCACAATAGAAAAGTCGGCTTTAATGGTTTAATTGCCACATGTAGACCAAAAAAATTGTTTAAAACAAGCTCCATATATAATTAAATATTTTAAAAAATTGTAAAAATTTTTAAATATATGCTTGTCAAAAGTCAAACTACAATGATTGTAATGAATTAATTACTTATAAAATTTAACTCCATAGAATTTTTGGCCAAGATAATTCTATAGAATGAAAGACAAGAAAAAAAATTAAATACTTTAGATATCAAATTGGACTTATATTGTGGATTAAGCTACACTGTGGATTGAAGGAGCAACAATTAATGTAGTGTTAAGTATATAAGTAGTAATGTAATATTAATTCATATACATGCAAATTTAAAATCTCAGCTGCAAATTATTGGAAGTAATCTATATGTGGATGTGTTTGGTAAGGTAACGGGAGATGAGGAATCGAAGTCGTTAAGAGAATCCATGCTTGACATGCTTGGTACATGTTATATAGCTGATAGCTTTGAAAATGAGCTCTCCCACCACCCAGGGAATGTAAATTGTACCTTGGGAACAAAAATTTTCTGACCAAAATGCGCCTATGCAAAAGTTAAAATTTCCCTTCCATTTCAGCTTCAGATTCGTCATTTGCTAGTGACGGCGACTTCATGAAGAAGCAGGATGTCTTGACGGTGTTCCGGAACAAGATCAAAATCCTTGATATCTCTCTTCTTCATGTGATGATGTTGGACTGGGTTCTGAGCAATTTCAGTTGCTGCCTTATTATCACATTCAGGTTTCATATGCTCATCATACGTGCAGAAAGGCCCCGATCATTCAAAATACACCTTTGATACAAAGCAATTCGCATGGGCCATGAGCCATCCCCCTAAATCACTGGCTCTTGTCTTTAATATAAAAGTTAGTTTGACTTTCAATTTGACCTTAAATATAAGATCCCAATTTATTTTATTTATTATATTTATCCATTTTTTTTCAAAGTAGTCATTACAGTAGTTCACATGTTAAAGATTCTATCAAATAGTAATTATAGCTAATGCACATGATTAGTAAAGGCATTTTAACAAAAATAACATCTATTTATTACAAGTAACTAAATTAACTAATTTTTTAATCTACTTAAATTAGTCAACTAGTTCTTATATTAAGGACAAGAAGTAATACTTTTTGTTTTTTACCTTCTCTAGGAAGTGAGGTTTCCTCCCCCAAACATGAAGTATGCATCTAGAAATGGATCATTGGGTTGTTTTATTCGGATCATAGCTCCCATGCATGTGATCTTTGCTTGGTTTATGGAAAAATGGAGTCACTACACTGAATGAATATGCTACGTTTGGCCGAGTGTGTGATAGGCATATTATCATTCCTACTAACTGATGATAGCCCATGTTGAATTCAAAATCTAAATCAATTATAATATAATCATTAATTATCTCCACTTTTTAAATATAATCATGAATCATCATAATAATAAAGTAATATCTACCCAGCAGTTACAAATGATAATCATCCCAATAGTTCAATTGAATTGCTCAATTTGCTCAAGTCAAGGTATATGTTAGAATTAGATCAGTTGATCATCATGTGCATCCTTGTCTTCCCTGTCTATTCAAGCTCATGATTTCATTAATGAAAGTAACTAAAGACTAAAACGACAAGGCCGCAAGTCGGATTAGCATCACCAAGAGCAGCCCATAAAAGAAGTTACATAAGTAAGGTCCAAGGGATAATTATCACAAAACCTCTCCAAGAACAGTTCTCAGACATTGAAAGAGTATGCTCTAAATATTGCGCACACATCACTGCAAACAAGAGAGAAATAGAAAGATGTATCAAATCACACACGCTTAATTTTGCGGCTTCGAATCTGTTTCATTTTCCTTTCTCTGGAGCCTTCGGTAGCGGATGGCACTTGTGGTGGTGCGGTTAGGGGGTGGATATTTGGTAAACAAAGCCATTAACGTAGGACCAATGAAGATGGGTAGTGATAGAATGGTAAGGATAGCGATTGGCGAGCCAAGAATTGCGTAAGTTGTTAAAGATTTGCCAAGGAGCATGAGAGAGATCCACAAAGCAACAATGGAACCGAACATGGTCAAAATAGCAATTTGAAGCATGAAAGGTGCGTATTTCCAAAAGATAAGAGATTGAGAACGAAAAGCAAGTATGGCCAAGAAGGAGATGGTGGAAGTGAGGGACAAGGAAAGGGCCACAAGTGATGAGTAGTTCTTTTCATCGAAATGCTCTGACACAACATAAGAAAAGGCCATGGATGCAACTAGGGTCGATGCCACAGAACATGTTTGTGAGGTCTGATTCAACCATTGTCTGTCACTTCTCATATGTTCCTTGTAACTTACTCTAAAGATTTCTTCTGCTGTTTTCTCATCATTGTTGTATTTCTCCCACAATTCACAAGGCACTGAATTTTTTACAAACTGCATCACCATTTTTAAGCATACACCATGTTTATTTACCCAACATTTTGATTAGACCTCATGGACAAGCCAAAGAAATTTTAATAGAAAATAGATACGCACATCAAACCAGTTGTATTCCTCTACCATTGTAGTTGTTTGCATATTTAGGTTGACCCCCAGCTTGGCTGCCAAGTGCAATGCAGTATTTCCATCTTTATCCACTTTACTAAATGCAGCATCGTCAAGGTAGGAACATCCATGCAAAAACTGATACAGCTTGGTCTGCCTCTTTTCTACTGCTAATAAAACTATGTTCTTTCCCTCATCATTCTCAGCTTTCTTCATATTTGGAAATGATTTTAGGATTCCCTCCACCATTTCTCTCACACCATTCTTAGCAGCAATGATTAGTGGTGTCTCAACAACTATTTTAGACCCTGCCTCTATCCAATCATTCACAGTCCGAATCACAAAATTAAATTGTAGCTATTGCAGCAATTTATTCAAGAATGATATTGATGTGATTTATTCAATATTTTATCATCAAGTGATCGCACGGTGAAGGTCAAGAATGATTAATTACTCGTCCTAAGATGTCACGTTCTATATGTTTATAATAAATGAATAATGCTTTATGAACTGATGCTTCCAGTTTAAATAAAACTTTTTACCGCTGTCCACTTCGTATGGTTTTTCTGAGATATTTCCACAGGAAGGGTGTTGAAGAAATTGTTCCAATATTTGAAGAGACCATTTATGCTTCTCCTTCAATTTTCGTATCCGAAGTAACCAATTCCCTAGGAATAAGAACCCCGAGTTAGTAGGAGCAAAATATTTTTAGAAAATAATATTTACAAATAATTTATAATTATGTATGATTAAAACAAAATATGTTTGTTTAAACTTTTATGTAGAGTCATTGAGTTTAACACATCAATATTATTAGGATTTTTCTTAAATTTAAATTTCAACTGAGCAGCATATGACTATAAGTACTGTTATATTCAACAGTTTCACTGCAAATAAAAATATAGTCATCAACTCATTATAGTACACAGGATACATTTAAAATAAAAGTATACCGTGACATGAATCATCATTTGCAACAGCTTTATAATACTTCAATGAAATGTACTAAGAATAATATGTCAAAGAAAATAATTTATTAACAATATAAATGATCTATTTACCAAAGGGTTAATGCAAAAGCATCAAATGCTAAGAAAATTATATCTTGTTATCATTGACTTAGAAAAAGCTTATAGTCATGTACTAAGAAATGTACTTTGGAAAGCCTTGGAAAAGAAAGGTTTTCATGTTGCACATATTAAAGCTACACAAGATATGTGTGAGGCAGCAATAATTTTTATTAGAATATAACTACTAAAAAACCATCAATACTTTATGGTAATGAATGCTGGAATTTAAAGGGATAACAAAAATTACAGAGGTATAATGGTAGAAATCATTTAATGTGGTTTGAACATTTAATGTGGACCAAAGAGAATGGTCAATGACACTATTGATAATCAGATTGTTTGGTTAACAATTTATCAAAAAAATGTAATTGTTGATAAAGCATAAAATGATGTCATACACTTCATGTAACTAATCCCACCAAAACATGTTGTATAGATCCAAGGGTTTTGTGCGTTGTTGGTATTCTACTAATGTTATAATTGAGGCCCAAAATAGATTTACATGATATGCTGTCCAACTCTGGTTCAATGAAGTATTGACCACCTAGTTTCTTATCTGTGTTCCTTCTCTCTGTAATCATTGGTTTGGGCTGAGTTCGCTGCGAATTGTAGTGTGCTCGTGTGTGTGTGTGTCTGTGTATTTCCCGTCGATATAGAGATAGATATAGGCATATAAATCATATCCATGTGCTTATATACACACGATTTTCATTTAATAAAGAAGACATGTATCTCTTAGTTAAATGCACATTAACATCATGTACCTGCTGCTGAAAATAAGAACTCAAAGATGATTAGGGGGAGCAGCAGGAACAAGGCCGAAACCCACAACAGACCAATTAGAATTCGCATCTTATTCACCCAAGATGAGGATAGTGAGTCAACACAACCTGCAAATATGAGTCACAAAATTAATTACTCCTCTAGCTTTTAATATAAGACATAATTAACTAATTTAACTAGATTAAAGATTTTAGTTAAATTAATTAATATGATTTTTTTTAAAACACCCTAAGCATCTGATCTTCTTGAATTCCTTCTCTCTCTCTTTTACTTGATTATTATTAGAAAAATATCAATGGGGTTAATTTGAGAAAAATTAATAAATATATTAAATAGGTCTTATATGTAAAAACAAAATCAACTCTCCAAATAAGCCCTATACATTAAGAACTGGAGGAGTATTTCCTAAACAAGTACCCTCTAAGTTTTGTTGACCTAGAATTTTTGTTGAATTAAGAAATGAGGAGTGAAGACAACATTCATATATATGTTGGAAATGTGACTCAAATAAATGAAGAACAATTGCTAGTAAATCGTACTTAATTACCTATACTACAAAGCAACAATTCAACCATAGCGAAGAGGAGGCGTGCTTCGTGTTCACGTTGTTGGAATATAGCTTCCTCCGTCGTGGCCTGCTCCTTCTTAACTTTAAACCCTTCCAAAGTTCCAAGCAACCAAGCCACTCGTAACCATAAGATACTTTTGGAATACGTGAATCAAAACGGATACGTATATGATAAATTGGTATTTTCATTTTTGAAAAATAAAGGATACGATGCTTTTGCAGTACACACAAATATATAAATTTATAAGAAACAAAAATTATAATTGCAATGGAATAATGACAACTGTGAACTTCTTAAGAAGGTTAGTATTAACTTGGGACTTTATTAAGACTTCAGTGCCAAATAGGAAAATGAGTACTAAATTTATAGTCATTCTTCCGATTACACTTCAAAGAAACTACAATCCAAGCACAATTTTATAGCCCTTGCAGAGTACTTAATACTATTCCTCCTCCTAAATATAAAACTATTTGAGGGATTAATTTTAATCATAAATATAAGATCCTAATTTAGTTTGTATTCTAAATTTATGATTTTTTTTTCATAAATTATCTATTGTAATTGCATATATTAAAAGGAGCAAATCAATAGAAATAATGATTAAAATACATAACAATATTTTTACTATTTTCAATCCTTAGTTGCTTGCGTGGTTGCGCCTGCTATAATAGGAATGATATTAATCTCTTTCTTTACAAGCTGTTATCTATAAAAATGATACCTTTATTAAAATATAAGTTTGAACTACCTTGACATATTTCTGAAAATGCATCAGCATCTTAAAGTATTTAGTGCATAATTTTACTCTTAATATATTAAAAATGGATTAATTTAAGACTCACTACTGCTGACGCTCATTTCTCACCCCAATCCAACGCCCCATAGGCGTACCTCTGGCACAGACAACGAAAAAGGCTCGTTCTATAGAAGTTTGTTTCCTCTCGCAGAATCAAAAAAATCTTTCAAGATCTGATTCGCTCTTGTTATGAGAAGCTTAAAATGCGTGATATGAAGGCTTGTTTGGATACAAAGGATAAAAATTTGCCGTAATAGCAAGCATGAAATCACAGAAAGACAATGTACCTACAGTGATAAAGCAGACGAACAATGAAAGATCGACCACCAAGATCAGTATTTTTGAAAGCTGAAGGGGTTGCCGCTAAGATATGGAGTGGATACAATCCATTCTTATTGCGCATGATCGTCATCTCTTGATTTTTATAAAGGTGAAGTATTTCGATCGCCACATCTGCAAAACCAAACCAAACCAAGCCATATGCACTTGAGTAAATATTACATTAAACATGGAAATATATGAAAGGATGAATGACAGTTTGTATTTACCAATATGCCCTCCTGCAATTGCACAGTGAAGAATGCTATCATTAATGGTGTCATTATTGTCGTCCCTTTTATAGTGAGCATCACGACTTGATGAAGGATCTTGAGGGATATGATAATGAAGCCAAAGAAAAACTTCTCTGTTGCCATGAAGAGCCGCCAAGAAGAGAGGCGTCTCGCCGGCATTGTTGGGCTCAACAACTGAGGACGGGTATGCCTCTTCAATCTTCGTAGACATATCAATACTTTTTCTTGAATCATAATAAGCTCTACATTCGTAAGAAGCTGCTAAATGCAGAGGAGTATTGCCTTTGTTGTTCTTAGCCCCAAGGACATCGCTCACATTCGGACTCTTTTCATTGTCTCCAGACTCCATAACCTTCTCATTATCTTGAGCTTTCTGAGTTTTCTCTTCATTAACTATTAAGTTCACTATTTTTGATGCCACCCAGTCTGACCCATGAAACACAGCCATGTGTAACACGGTGTCTTTCGTTTCTGTTATATGGGCTGTGCGAAGCTCCCTTTTTTCCCGGTACGTTTCCAATACTTCTGTCCACCTGGCTGCCATAGCATCACTTTGTAGTTTCTCTAGGATTCCTTTCTGGGCGTCAACTGGTGATGAACTCATTGCCCCTTGCAAATTAAATTCAAATGGTGAAAATTATATATATATATATATATATATATGACATCCAAAAATAAGTCAAATATAAATAGAAAAAATTCGGGATAAATCCCTCATGGAGAAATTAATTAACTAATGGTCCCTAAGATAATGATTTATACAAAGAAAGATAAGTCGCACATATGGATGATAGTTTGCACAAACATCATTCGGATACAAGAGATTAATTTGCACACAATGAATATAACTTGTACATGGTGGAAAATGGATTGCACACAAGAAAATTTCAGTTACACAGAGGAAAGATGTGGAACAAGGGAAGATGATTGCACACAAAGAAAGACAGATTGCACATAAGAGAAGTTAAGTTACACTAAATCTTTAGGTATTATTTATCATTTGATTTCTCAATAAGAATTTGTCCCCAATTTTCTCATATAAATAAGAAAAATTTATTAGTATTAATAATTTGCAACTTTTGCTAATCAATTTGATTATTGCCAATGCTAATAAGCACATGGTACTAAAAGTATTCCAGCGTCGAGGGCGTTCAACATTGTGCCAGAAAGCATGCTCTGACCCTAGAAGATGGACATAAACATAATGGATCGCGTCTTACATGAACAGTGCATAGTCTAGTCATCTTCTGGACGAAACTGTACATGTATACAAATTATAGATTTTTCTAGTACTGTGCATTAAACCTGGAACCCGGTGCATTGTCCAACACGGTCTTAACCCCAAAAAATGCAGCCCGAAGTAAGACAGACCAGACCAGCCCGATCTCTTTAGATCGGGTTGGACCAGGTTTCAAACTGATATCTGACCAATTGGTCCAGTGCAACCCGATATGTCTCCGTATATTTATACATTTCAAATCTCATTTATTAAAAAAAAATTTCTCTCTCCTTTCTCTGCCTCATCTATAACGTTCTTCTCTCAATCCTTATCTCTTTTATTAAGACCTGTTTAGAACAGTTTATAAGTAACTTTTTAATAGTAATTTTCAGAATATGAGGCAAGTATGTGAGAGGAATTTTGTCTCAACTTGCATGAAACATGCTTATAAGGGATTTCTTAAGCTCTCCTAAACAGGCACAATCTCTTGGCCCTTATCGCTATCTTTTCTCTCTCAACGAATCAAGTCCGGGTTTCGCTAATCCCAAACTAACTTTCACAGCGTGACAAAAAACTTCTAATTTAAATGAGTGTTTGGATTGACCTCTGAGTAGATGGACTCATAATGGACTTCTAGACTAAAAGTTAAAAGCAACTTGCAATTGCTTCCGGCTTCTATATCCGGGAATACGGGCCAACCCACGAGTTGCGGGCCAGCCCGTCACGACTTGTGAGTTATGTGGTGCGGGCTGCTATTTTGGGGGCTGGAAAAATCCCAACCCTAACTCGCCACAGCTGGTTGGCGAGCTAGCTTGCCAGCCCGCCATCTTTTTTTTTTTTAATTCTCAATTTTCAAATCTTATTTTTATTTAATTTTTTAAATTAATAAATGGTGATCTAAAATTTCAAAAGCAATCACAAATATAAATTATGTTTAACCATATTTAAAATAGTCGATACAAATATAAAACAATACATTATAAATATTTTACATGACTAACATTTAACATCAACTCATCAAGTGATAAATTTTATAATATTTTTTCATACAAATGCCATGTTTGACACAAAATACTATCTCTTATTAAATTAGAAGTACATTTATCTTATTTTTTTTAAATTTCATTTACCATGTTTCTCTAAAACACTTTTTTTCCGTAATAAATATTGTCTTATGATTGTAGTTATTAAATTTTTGCTATAAATATAGTATGATTATTTTTAAAAAATATTTTTTGTTTACATATGTATTATATAACATGAAAATTGAAATGTAAATAAGAGAAGAAAATTTACAAATATAATAACATATTATTTATGTGAATTTTTTTATAAAAAAAAGGTGGCTGGTTAGGCGGGCCAACCCGCAGGCTAGCCTGCCATAGCCCGCGGGTTATGTGGTGCAGGCTAGAGCAGCCTGCACCTTGACGGGTTGGCATCTAACCCGCTCTTTTAGGGCGGGTTGGCAGGTTAACTCGCGGGTCTCAACTCATATTTCCTGCTCTATCGGCTTCTTCATCTTTACTTCTATTTTCTCCTATTTTGAGTCTAATGCAAGCAAGTTTTTGTTAGAGTGAAGTCATTACCATATCTGATTTTTACCTCATATCAAAAGTCTGATTGAAAAAAAAATTATTTCTTTTACTCCTAATCCAAACAGTACACAACTTTCAATAATGATGACCCTTCTTTCTCACAGACATCCATCTCTATGGCGGCAACACCAACCAAATCGGCAAGACCCCCTATCAGTGAAACCTAAAAAAGCTTGGTCATTTGGATGATTCATCTCCATTCCCCTTCGTCAGTTTTTTGGTTTCTTTTTTATTTTTTTTCATTTTTCCCTTTATATCCGGACACAACTCTATTTTTACATGTCTATTATTGCCCTAGATTTTTCATGTTTCTAATGTCCACAAATCGCAAACTATATCTGGACACAGCTCTATTTTCCTTGTTGTAAATAAATATTTATCCAAACAATGACTTAGAAATGTAAACTAGGAACTAGAAAGCTCTTAATTCTTTTCCTTTTGCACGCGTCTACAATTTCATAAAAGCAGTCAACCTCGTCACTAATTAAGCAATAATAGAATGTAAAATTCAGGTATATTTTTAATCTTGCGTATTTGTCAATTTAATATAATTTCTAAAAGACTACTCAATTTAAGCCCATCTCAAATTATATATAAATGACATAAATGACAACTGTCGGCCGTAGTTGTGGAAGATCAGACCAAACAAGAACCCAAAAAAGGAAAATATAACCGTACGTGACTCTCAAAAGAGGGGGGGGGCTCGAAGAAGAAAGAGAAGATGAATGAGAAGGAGGAGGAGAAAAATCTAACCAACAACATTTAAGAAGAAGAAGTTTATGATGTCAGAGAACAAGAGCCTTACTAGAGAAATAGCAGAAGGAGATTGTAACTTCGTCCAAGCCAAATCTCAAAGAACCAGAGACGAGGAGCGCGGAGAAGAGGGTAAAACAAAGAGGCATTATATAGAAAACAAGTGGGCCGTATATGATACTATCTTCTGTGTATTTTGATGATGATCTTAATCTATTTTATTGTTTATATTTATGTGTTTTTTTAAAGATATTTTTTATAATGATAGTTGTTGTTAATACATTTGATTAGTAATAATATTTTTAAAAAAATACATATTTATTATAAATAATTATTTTAATCAATTAATTTTTATATCGAAAAGCAGGTAGTGTATCCCAAATCTTTCTTCTTCCGGTCGGTGCTGATCGTGAAAGAGAATCAAAAGCAATTTCAATTTCAACAATCTGTTTACAAGTCAGTCCAAACACCCAGTCAAAATTCTGACCAATCAGCGCGTGAAACGCGTAAGAAACAGGACCAAAAGAGGATAGAAAACAAATAAATTATCCTTTCCTGAGCTGGATATTTTAATAAGAATAATAATAACAACATGATGACCATTTGCTCGATTTTTAGGCTCATTTGAAATAATTTATAAACAGTTTTTTAATAATAATTTATAGAATGTAATATAAGTGTGTGAAAAAAATTTTGTTTTAACTTATGTAAAATATACTTATAAATATTTAAAATCGTGATACAAAACGAGGCCTTAGAAGATTTGATTTTCTCTTTTCACTTTCTTTCTATTTTTCTTAATTATAAAGGCAAAAATTAATGACTAGAGGTTACAAGTAAGGTTCAACATGCGATCTTCCACTGACAAAAGGATGTTGGTCTTCGTTCCCAAATCTAAAAAAAGAATAAGCAATAGGGGAAGCTAAGATACAATAGTACGCATGTTTGAAAATGGGAAAACTAAGATAAAAGTGTCATTTGTTGATTGGAACTGAATCAATAAATAAAGGTGATAATGTTATTATTTTGCATGTGATTGAAATTGTCCAAAAATTCGGTAAAGGATAGATATGATAGATTTATTGCTGAAGAGGAGGGATGATAAAGTTTACTTGCGAGAATCACGTGATGCTCAATTTTATATATAGTGAACACAAAAGTCGATGCGTAGTTGAAATTGAATTGAAATAGGAGTATAATTCATTGCAATATAAGACCTGTTTAGAACAGTTTTATAAATAGTTTATAAGTAACTTTTTAATAGTAATTTATGAAATACGAGACAAGTATATGAGATAAATTTTGTCTTGGTTTATGTGAAACTTATTTATATGGATCTCTTAAACGCTCCCAAATAGGCACATAATATACTTCCTCCCTATCTTATTATAAGATTTTTTTTTTGGTAAATAAGTGAACTTTCTAGTTTTAAAAAAATTATTAATATTAATTAAAAATAATAAATATGTATGAAATATTGTTTTTCTGTCTTTATAGATGCTTTTATATTTTTAAGTGGGTAAATGAAAGAAAGTAATAATGAGAAAAATGATTTAAAAAATGTGTGGGACATGCATGTTTGAAAAAAAAGGGAAACCAAAGGCGAAAGCGTCCTTTATTGATTGGAGCTGAATAAATAAACAAACAAACAAATAAAGGTGGTAATGTTATTATTTTGCACCACATGGTTGAAACTGACTAAACAATTTGATAAACGAGAAATGTATTAGGATGAAAACTAAACTATGATTTTAAAAGTAAAAAGAGTTTTGTTTTGATTTACCTAAAAATATTTTTTTTAAAATGCTTTTAAACACTGACATATTATTAAGAGAATGACGTCATGGTCAATCATAAGTAAGGAGAATTTTGTTTCGACTTGTGTAAAAATATTTTTTTTTAAATGCTTTTAAGCACGTCATGCAATTTTATTGAGAGAAGGACGTCATGGTTAATTATTATCTATTGGACATAAATGCGAAATGCCAATAGGTTGTTGAAATTATTTTTACCAAAAAAATAGCACGATAACTCATAGAGATATAATATAATACTCTGGGAGTTGTTTTGAAGGGACGCGCATGTTTCAGAAAGGGAAAGCTAAGATAAAAATGTCGTTTATTGATTGGAACTGAATAAATGAATAGAGAATTAAATAAATAAAGGTGATAATGTTATTATTTTGCATGCGATTGAAACTGACTAAAAATTATACGAAGATATATTGCCAGACAGAAGAGGAGATGATAAAGTTTCCTCTAATTACAGGCTATAGATTTATTGGAAATTAAAGTAGCAATAATAATATCATTTTAGCATTTCATTGTTGAGAGAATTACCCTTAAGTAGTAACCTCCTTTGCAATTAATAGGATATTTTGAAGAAAAAAATATAAATTTGAAAAACAAAATAGACTGAAATTTTTTATTTAAAGTTAAGTCAATCTCTCAACTAATTTTTATATTAAAGACCAGTTGTAGTACAGCCTATCGATCCACATATACCCAGGTACGTTATTGAGATACAATACTTGTTCGATGCATTGATACTTTATTTTTGAAAAATACCACACAAATGTATAAATTTATCAAAGACAGAAAGTATAATAATTACACCGGGAGGTTAACGGCCAAGAACCTCGTAAAAAGGTTAATATCAAACTAAGAACTTATAAATATTTTCAGGGCCAATTTATAGTAAAGTGAGTAATGTAATTTGGGAACATAAGTTGTGATGATAAGGTTTTAATTTGGTAATCCCTCCGTCTTTTATTATAAGATCTAATTTTTTGAATAGGTTTGTCTCTTTTTATAAGATCTTTTTTGAGTTTGTCTGAATATTTAATACATTATTACTTATTTTACCTCTAGTTTAATGCATTTAATATATTTTCTTTTTTTATTTATCTTACTATTATTCCATCACATCTACCCATTTATATATATGGGTATATTTGAAAAAAATTATATTTGCTATATATTAATTACTTTTAACTAATTTTAACTATTTTTTTAAATCACATAATTTAGTTAAAAAGATCTTATAATAAGTAACGGAATAATATCAACCCTATTACGAGGCATTTAGTTATCCTTCGCCCAATTTTTTTTGACCAGCGTTATCCTTCTCCCAGTTGCAATTCAAATACACTCTTGAAGTACAATCTTACAGTCCTTTCACGGTAAATACCCGGAAAAAAAAAAATTTAGTACCATCATTGCTCGGTGGTCCACAGCCTGGCATTTGCTAATAGGATAGTCCTTTCACATATCATTTGCTGAAATTTTGAAATACTTATGTTTTAATAAAACTCTCCTATTTCAGCACCATTAAAGTAATCCCATACGTTGCTAATACTTATCTCCTTGGTAAAAAGGCAAGCTAGAGCAAAACATTATAATAATCAGAGCTTTAATTTTGCAATAATCTTCACCAAAATTTAATTTTTCTTTATTGACCAAGGTTTTAGAAGTACACAATGGAGTTTTAGAAGAGAAAAAAAAAACAGTAAAAGGCGCGCGAAGGGGCCGGGCTAATTCTGTGTGTAGTTTCTCATTTCATTGTAATTGAAAAAGTGTACAGTAAGTCATTATATATAGATAGTAAAACATACAAGTAATATGGACTGAAAGGAAAGATCTAGAATGAAAAAACCCAAAGTAAGAGCCCATTAGTCAATTGGGCTTTGTCTTGTTCGGTCTTGGACTTCAATACTCCCTCGCGAGTGGAACTAAGCTGGAAGCATAGTGGGACTCAATCTAAGAGCTGCAAATTTGGATGATGGTAGAGGCTTAGTAAGAATATCAGCCAATTGATCCTTTGAGGATACATAAAGAACATTGAGAAGACTGGCAGCAAGGTTTTTCCTAACAAAGTGATAATAAAAAGCTATATATATGTTTAGCTCTGAAGTGGAATATAGGATTAGCAACTAGATAAGTTGCACCAAGATTACACAATGCAAAAATGTAGCATCACAGAGAACAATATGTAATTCATGAAGGAATTGCTGAAGCCGTATCAAATCACTAGACGCTGTAGCAATGGTTTTATATTCTGCTTCAGTACTTGACCGAGCAATAGTAGGTTGCTTATTTGAACTCCATGATACCAGATTGGGACCAAAATAAATGGCAAAGCCAGCCGTAGATCTTGAATCATCAACATTGCCACCCTAATCAGCATTAAAGAAGACATGTAGCAGATATGAAGATGATTTTTTGAGGTGAAGAGCATAGTGTGAAGCACCCCCCTTAATCCTCGTATATTCTCCCTTTGCTAATCTGCAACACCACCATATCAAACAGAAAAGCGGCACTTCCTTGTTCAAGTCTCATCACCATTTAAGGGGCGCTTGAAACCCTCAACAGCACCTAAAAAACTACTTCCGAGATATAACTCTGCTTATATATATGCCTCAGACTCTGTAAAATTATTTTTAAAAAGATGATCCAAACATTTCTTAAGTCAGCTCTTCCTGAACATAATATTACTTTCGTTCTTAATTATAAGACATCGTATATAGATTATAAATAAAGTATTATATCACAGATCTCTATATCCTCATGTGGAGTCTTACCTTACACATATCATTCTTAATTATAGGAGACGTACGTGATTGGTGATGGTTGCTAAGTTCTAATGGTAGTAATCTTTTAAGTTCTTTTCCCGTACCAACATGGGACTATATAGTGCTTCTTCCTTGTGTTTTTGCAGGCATTTCCAAGGCTTGGCTACTGCAAACAAAGCCCTAATAGAGGCATTTGAGAACGGGGAGCTACTTGACCTAGAAAACAGAATAATGTGAGCATTAGAGCAAATTAAGTATGAATGTCTAAATAGGCTGAGTGAAAATCCTCGACTGAACTAGCCTTATTAAACTAACTAGCGGCCCACACTCAGAATATGAGATAGTCAATTAAATATCATGATGATATAATGCAATATACTCTTTCGATTCCCATATCTAATTGGAGAGTTAATGTTAATCCTATATGTAAGATTTATTTCATATGTTTATTAATTTTTTCTCAAATTAACTGTATTGATATTTCTCTAATAATAATCAAGCAGGAGAGAGAGGAAAGGAATTAAGAAAAATGCTTAGAGTGTTTTAGGAAAAAAAACATATCATATTAGCTAATTTAACTAATATTCTTAATTTACTCAAATTAGTTAATTAAGCCCTACATTAAGGACAGGAGAAGTATAATAATAATGATAATCAAAATATCTAACATTTAAATATTAATAACTGCAAGCCAGCATCTCAAAGAAATATTTAATAATGGAGAAAAATAATGCTTAATTTCTCCCCAGAAAGGCCAAGTTTAATCTGTTCCCATTCTTAAACTTTTCAAATGATCCAAAAATAAAACAACTTTTCAAAACCCTATAATTGATGTTTATGATTGTTTTGGTTATCCTCCACCGTTAATATAATCATTATGTCAATTACTTAATGGACGGTTTCCTTAAGTTGCTCCAAACAAATTAAATTAGTCCAAACCGATCGACATAATTATGACACCAACTTCTGTCACTAGCAGCAACTAATTAATTAGAGTTATGAAACTTGCAACTCAACTAGTTAATCGTGCTGGGTTAATCCCGCACCTACGAAATTACTCTATAGACTAAGGTTAAAATAAAAGTAAATGTGAGTATATACATACAGCAAAATTAGCCCCATGTAGATGTAAAGAATGGTTATGCTAATGTGCCTCATAGGATGCATCTACCTAAACCTTTTTCAGTTAGTTTGAAAAACAATTTTTCAATCAAATCTCAATTTTCGGAATTTTTTCTGACTTTATTATTTACTTAAATATAATGAAATATTATTTTGTTGTTATGCATTTTGTTTCGTTTTTAATTAAAAACATATTAGAATAACAAAAATAATTGAGTACAATATAAGAGCTTAGTGATAACACATATGACGATTCAAGTTAAAAGCTGCAGTCCATCCACGTCAGAACATAATATCGATAATATATAGGGAAAACTAATTTAGAAGTCCTCGTAGTTTTCATTGATTTTGATTTAAGTCCTTGAACTTTTTTTTCTTTTTATTGAGTCCTTAAACTTTCAACTATCAAATCTGTTAGCCCTTGCCGGTAAATAAGGATTAACTCTGTTAAAAATTTCCGTTTAAAGTGCAGCGATACAACTCCGAAACATCTCCCTCACCATTCAGCTTGACCTTGTTTGGTGCATCTTGATGCTTGAGTCATCCCTTGCCCAGGCGACACAATGAGGGTCACCCACAAAAGTTTTCTAACAATAGCCCCACACTCATTAGTTCCTGCAACTGTGACTCGGCCCTTTTACTGCAACTCGACCCTACCATTCCACCATAGTGGAACTTAATTAGAGTATGTACAGTGTTTATTGATTTCCTAGGCGAAGCATGAAAAATGTTGAGAAGCCTACATGAGCTTTTAATATATATAATTGCTATTGGGAAATCAAAAGCAAGCTCAAGTCCACCATTGAGTACTCTAGCCATATGCACGTTAATGGTTCGATGAAAATGACAAATTTCACAATCACATAATATAATATTATATATACATTCATATATATAGTGAAGATTTCTGGAAATATTAATTGATTCTTGAAGGTGTGGGAGATTGCAATAGTAGTCAGATCATTAGCAGTAGCCTTGTTTTGCTAGTGGGCGGTTCAATTTACTTTGTTTTTTTTAGTATTAAAATAGAGGAGGCTCTCATACTTTTGTCACTTTTTTTTATCTCACTCCTCACACGCAGAGATGTTGGGGTTGGGTCCTTCTGTCTCTAATTAAGTTCCAACATGAGCGGAAGGATTGAGGCATAGTGGCGTGAACGGAAGGGGGAGGGGATATTTTAGAGGTCTATCACTGCTTCTTAACAAAAACTTGTAACAGTGTTACTACTTATTTAACAGCAGGGACTAATGGTTTTAATAGTGAAAAGTTTAAGGATCTAATAAAAAGAAAAAAAAAGCTCAAGGATATAATTCAAAATCAATGAAAACTATAAGGACCTCCAAATTAGTTTTCCCTAATATATGTGTGTGTGTATACATATATATCTCTCTCACACACACGACATCAAGAGCAATGGACGAAGTAAGAATTAAGAACTACTGTTAAAATGCACTCATTATCACTAGTACTTTGTACAATTATCCAAATCATAAAAGAAAGAGCTTACAACAGGAAAGTTAGGACTTGGAACTAATCAAGGGAATTAAGGAATGCTAGAAAAATACAGCAACTTGACACACACCCTATGGCTTTCTCTAAGCATAGAAAAAGAACAAAAATTAACGTGCAATGGCTAATTAAATTTTCAACCCCCAATTAATCCCCATTAATTATTATTATTTTCGCCTTCATCTGTTTTATCATCCCCAAATATATTGAATTTACTGATAATTGGTAGTATCTCACGAAAATGTCAGAGCTAGCTAGCTGAGCAGCCCCCACATGGTGGACATTCAAGTGTGGGGAACACATCACGTGAATGTTCTGAAATTATCAACTCACAAGCTGTTCCTTGTCCAAACATGCCATGGGCTGAGATTGCGGTGGCATTAGTGGTGGTTGTGGCTGTTTTGGCAGTGGTGCCGCCGCCGCCGGAGGTGGTGATGGAGGAGAGTGAAGCAGGTGGCCATTTGTATTGTTGTTCCTGCTGATGATGATAGATTTGTCTTAGTCTTTCTATTTCCTTCTTTAATGCTTCGTGGTGAGCTGAGACCGACCACATTAAAACCAATTTAATCAGGGTGTGCTTATAGGTTTGGAAAAAAAAAAGCAACGAAATTATCGCCTAATGATGATGATAATGGAATTTATAGAAAAACTAATAATTAAAATCATTAGAACTAAAATTACCGTCTTTGAAAATCTTGTCTTGAGCCAAAGCAGCAATACGTTGCTTCAAGGTACTGTTGTCTACGTTCAGAATCAGACGTTGGTGGTCCAAGAATGCTACCCTCGGCGACAATGCTGACACTTCCGTCTTCATTTTTTCACCCATCATTATTATTAATTCCATTATTATTCATTCAAACTCATTAATTAATTACAAAATACCTATCTATATGCTCTATCTATACATACATATGATAAAATAGCATATAATAAAGTAGACATGGTTCTTGACTTGAATGATCCTTTTTAAGATACCAATTAATAATTAATTACTCTCAAGCATAAAGTTATCTTGCCCATCCACGTGAAAGCCATAATGTTTTGGTTCCTTAGTTACCTAGAATAACAGTGATTTCACTATAAGTTATAGCCAAAAAAAAAATTGGAGAAGTGACTTGAGTTTATCAAATATTAATAATAGTTAACAATATTTGTGAAGAAAAATTTGGGTAGATTTAGTCTAAATTAACATAAAATGTAAGAGGGATTTATAATTTTAACGTGCTTAGTATACCTATTTTATTTTGAATTCACCTAAAATCATTTTAACTTTGTCGATTAAGAAAAATATGGTGTGATCTTATCAATTAGATGCCAAATGAATTGCCTAAATTTAGCTTTCATGCATACCTGCAAAGTTGATACGCTTCTTTCTAAATCAGAAATGTACTGCAGCTTTCTCACCCTGGATCTCTGAGCCGACTGCCGATTTGCCAAAATTCTGATTTTTCACAACACAAAGAAGAAAAAGATCATAAATATAGATAATTAAATTAACTATGAAATCTATATGTTTATCTCTTATAATTATTTGGTAACTATTATTATTATTATTATTATTCAGTTAATACGTGCATGGGTCATCTGATATGGCATCGACATATAGATGTGGCTTACCTTTTAACTCTTTTTGGATCAACGAGTGGTTCGCCGCCACCGCCGACCACCGGCAGAGTGTCACTCTCATTCTTGCATTCGCTCTCCTCCTCCCCCGGTTTCATTCTTGAGCTGTTTCTGCAATTGAAGGTCTGTCTCGGCACAACGACGTCGTCAATTACCATAGGCTTCTCCTCGTTATTGCTATGCTGATCATCCGAAGGCGTTGACGGGTCCGATGCAGTGGCAGATGACGGCGGCAACGAAACCGAGCCAATGTCATTGGAGGACATGGACATGAGCTGGTCATCGTCAAGCCTATCAAACCCATGATGTGCTCCGGTCACTGGGTTCCGACATTCCTCAAGGAAAGCCGCATCGAGGGAAGCAATGGAATCGCTAGCAGACCGCCCGTGAGCCCCCCGCCGTGCCGACGAGAAGTCAAGAAACTCATCCACCAACGTCGGTAACGACGGCTGCGGCGGCGGCGAGTTCTGTTGCTGAAATTGTTGAGCTGCACTGGGATTGAAACTAGGCGGCATTGCGGCGGCTGACTTCTGGTGAGGATTAAACGATGGCCAATTCTGGGTCATGGTTGGTATCTTAAGAGACAACTGTGCCATCTCCTAGGTGGGATCGGACAACAAGGTCAACTTGAACGAGCTTGTCCGCGAGAGAGAGAGAGAGAGAGAGAGAGAAGATTAAAAAGAAGCAACCTAGAAGTTAGAACCGAACAGAAATCTTAGATGAAAAGGGAATTCTGCGGATCCTAAAACAGCAGTGTAGTATGAGGGAGGTCAGGTCATATAATATCAGGAAGAGGTCACCTTACAACCACCTCGAAGACATCATCATATGTAAATGGATTATTGTTAGTGATACTCCTCCGATCCTAATTATAAGACCCAATTGACTTATTTGAGGAGATTAAGGAAGTAAGTTAAGTTGGTTATTTATAATAAATAAGTGTTATTATTCCTAAAATATCCTTGCTAATTAAGTATATTGGCTAAAACTATCATTATTAGAAGGGTTACCTTGGAAAAAAATGCATAAATATAAGAGACAAAATGGATTAGGGTCTTATAATTAGGACCAAATAAAAAGTCAAATGGGGTCTTATAATAAAAACCGGAGGAGTATATTTTTGCACTTACCTTAATTTTGTTATGTTCACATTCAAAATTCTTAACTAGTCCTTGTTGTTTTGGTGTGCAAGGGCCAAAGTGAAACTACCTATGAAGTTAATGGGATCAACACATCCAACATTGACTCTCACACATGAGAGCGAATCTAATGTCATTAGGGACAATCCTCAATATTCTATTTATATTTAAGTTGATTTTAACCCAATGCCCAATTTAATTTATTACACTAACCTGATATATTAGGTATAAGAACTAGTCTATTAGTTTATTAAGCTGATTTAGCATCTTTTCGCACACCATATATGGTTTATTATTGCTACTTCAATTAACCATGACTAAAGATCTAGATCTTATATATTACTGACAGTCTAAAAATTCAAAGAATATATATAATATGATGTTTTTTAGATATAAATAAAGATGAAAGCCTAGTAGCTAAATACCAAGAGACATCCAGCCATCAGACATCCTAATACATTAAAACTAATAAAAGTTTCAACATGCAGCTTAATATTTATAGTTTTTGCGTTTTAAACCATCAATGCGTCTAACTTTAATATTTACTACACCAGCTTAATTTTTCTCTTCTTTAGACTTTAATTATGTAAGTGTTTTAGAACTTAAATTGTGCAAACCTCATAATTCAAAGATAGACACTACAAATTAATTAAAGAATTGGTGGGAGCTTCTCACCTTAAAAATTGTTTAATTTCCACAAAGAAATTATGCATGATATTATTAATGTCCCTCATGAATGATGTAATTTATTACGAATTAAAAACATGGATGACTTGTTAATTTGATAAGTTTTGGGAACAGAAGTGTAATATTGTGAAGGAGAAGTAGTGGAATCAGCAACCACGTGCCGATGTGACCCCTCCCTTTGGCATCCATTATCTCACAAAATGCTATTCCTCATTCAATATTCATATTCAAATCTAATCCCCTACTTTCATGAACTGCCTCCCCTTTATGTCTTCTCTTCTCCTCCCTTTATTTTAATCAATGTGTTTTTTTTCCCATTGCTTTGAGTTGGTAAAAATTGATCTCTTTCTATTTGTTGATATGCATGAGAATAGTTTATAATGAACAACGAGACAAGTCACAACTCACAGGTGAATAAAACAATTACCATGTAATTAAATAAGCATTTCAAAAAACACCAAATGAATAAATTACATTGTCCAAGACAGATCATACAACTATTCACAAAGCACTAATTTTGAACAAAAATTATACTTCTTTATGTTTTTTATTTGAACTACTTTTAATTACCCCACTAATAAAAAATATTAGTTACATTATCAAAATTGTCTAAAAATCATTTCAATTTTTATTTTTTTGCCAATTAATTATATGTCTCCCCATTAATTAATTATAATAGTTTTCACGCTCATTCTTCCTAATTCATCCTCTCTATAAATAACGGTATATTTCGGTAAAAATACATTTTTTTTGCATTTGATTATCTTTAACTAATTTTAATTGACTTCTTAGTTTGCATGATTTAGTTATAAATAACTTACAGAAAAGGTTGGAGGGAGTAAATATTTTTAACATTATTACACAAGCTCTTACAAGGTGAGTTACATATTATATTAATTAGAAAACTTTTCTGAATTTCATGAAGGAAGAACAGGAGCACGCATAATGGTTGATTCATAGGGTAGTGTGCCGTGATCTTGTGAGCCATGACGTCATACATTTTTTTTAATGAAATATACAATTCGTTTCTTAGTTAATTAAATTAAAATATTGAGAGAAAAATGGAGCCAAATATTCTAAAATAGGAGCAAAGTGAGGGCCTATGGGCCCACTTGCAGTTTGGAGAGGGTCGGTGGAGCATCGCAACGACCCAACCATCTCACATTCATTGCCGCTGACCCGAAATGAATTAGTCCCCACTGCTGCCTCCCGCCTCTTCTTCTGTGTAAGGGTTTCAATGTTCAGATATGGCTAACCAGAGCAGTGATCATTTAATGTGGTTCCTTTACAAATTTGGCACTGTCGCTCGTATCATTCAAATAGATGAAAATTTTCCAACTTTAATTAATGCATGTGAGTTCGTAACAGGACAACTTTCATCTGTTAAGGGTAAAATTGTCCCAATTTGAACGCGGTCACTGTTTAAGGAGTATTTGGATTAGCTTTCTAAAAATAATTTATGACATTTAAGATAATATGTGAGAAAAATATTGTTTCGACTTATATAAAAGTATTTTTTTAAGTGCTTTATAGGAAATTCAAACACTCTTAAATTGGCATAGATATTTTTTTTTATTACTCATTCTTCTGTTAGAAGTAATTTTGTTTGAGGTATTATCAGATACGGAATATGAATATTTCTCCTTACAAAGATTTGCATCTTAGGTCATCATGTCATGGAGGACTGGTCTTTTTCACTAAATTCAAACCCATTTAAATTGTATAGGATAAAAAACAAGACTTTATCCTCAAAACAAATAATGAGAGTTAAAGATTAATAACTCTTATTTTGGAAAGAGTGTGATCCGGAAAAAAAATGTCTCCTTTACGGAAAAATTGGTTTCTATTATGATGATGAAGACACTCCTAATCCAAAAAAAAATTGTTATAACCAATCATTTAATATCAGAATTATATTGATAAAACAAAACGATGGTACTACTATTATTGATTGCATTTATTTTGTTCCTTAAATAATTATTCATTTTTTATACATGCATATTCGTCTGATTATAATATACTCTTCTGGTTCTATTTATAAGGCACTTTCAATGTGTTTCACACAGACCAAAAAAAATCTTAAATTGTATTAACTCTTTGTTAAAATATAGCAATTTTTTAACTTTACCTTTATTTAATATATACTCCTTTCAAAAAAATAACTATCTACACTATAATAAATGAAGAACAATATGATACATTTATCATTTATGGTAAAAATTTAATGAAGTGACTTATAAATAGGATCAAAAAAATTTCTCTCTCTGCCCTATAAATAGAATCAAATGAGTAATTATTTTGTAATTATTCAAGATAAAAAAAACAGCTCACATGAATATAAAAAATACATGAGTTCATAACTACTACCTTCGGTGTTAACTATAAGACCTCGTTATAATCTAGAAATGAGTTCTTTTAATTAAGACAGAAGGTAGCATTTCTTTAGATGATATTCAAAGTGATAAGGTCATGCCTGAAACAAGAAAACTCTTGGGAAGATTAAACCAATGGTATAGAGAGATGGTGGGGTGGTGGAGGGTTTGTAGATAGGAATGAGCTGTGAAGAGAAAGAAAAGCAAGAAGTCCCTTTAATTAATTGATCATTCTAGATTTTGTATAATATTTATAGTTAAACACCTCCTCATATAAATCAATTTTTTTAAAAGCTTTAAGGAAAATATGCTAATAAAACTAAAATTTTAAAATTTTAGAGGATCGTTGCACTATCCTTTTACTTTTATCATTAAATAAAATCTCAAATCAAAATTTGTGCATAAAAACACATGAAGAAGCACTATTTTCGTTTGAGATCTAATTCAAGATATGAATTAAAATGAAGGCTTCATTATGGTTCTAAACTCAACGGGACGCCTTGTGGGGCCCTCCCAACAACGTGCATGGGTGCGGGTGTCTTCTCTGGTAGAGGGGATTCCGATCCTTATGAAGGCCGAGGAAGGAAAAGAGGACTTGATTGTGGGAATTTAGGGGGTGTTTGGGAAACCCAAAACCATGGTTTCAGAAGCACTTTTCGGCAAAACGAGATAATCTCCTCCACATATTTACTTCGTAATCCGTAAAAGCACTTCTGAAACCATGGTTTGGTTTCTATCCAAACACCCCCTTAGATGACAAAACGACAATGGATCTCATGGGGCCCGCTCTATCTTGAACTGTGCAGGTTGTTATTGGCGAATCACAAGCCTCGAATTTTTATTTTTTTGGGTGGGCCATGAGTCCAGTAAGCTTTCAAAGGTGTTTAGATTAACTTTTTAGAGATAATTTTATAATAAAATATAAAGTAAGTATGTCAACGGAATTTTATCTCAACTTATATGAAAATACTGAATTTTCTCTGAAAAAACTTAATTATTAAAATATTTAATTGTTGTTAATGGAACTATAAATACAAATCCTTAGTTGTTATTTTCTAAAACTTTAATTTCACATTATTATTTGGTTCTAATTAAAACCTCCAAAAAAAAAATGTTAGAAACTCATAATCAATCCAATTAGTAGTGATCAAGCTTTGTAATTCTCTATTCAAGCAAGTTTCTCAATCAAACATAGCTGTAGCAACATCAGTCTCTCCGCAGTTTACTATAATATCTACACACGATAATAGTAAAGGCCTAGGATAGAACATACTCACTAAAAATAAGAATTAAACCAAGCTAATCATAAACAAACATATCTAACACACAGGTTCATTGATAACTAGCTTGGTTTGCTTATATTTAACAGAGCATTCATATGTTTAATGATTGGGGTTTATGACCAACCACACACATAATCAAGGACATAAACCAGTGCGAGAGAAAAGGGATAAAGTAGGATGGCCACTATAGAAGTCCACAGAGGAAAAGTGGTACGGAAACTGGCAAATACTCCCATCACAATGCAAACTACCAGAATGACCAACACTTCTGCAGAGAAGTCCCATGTCAATCCCCTTACATATACAAGGGCCAAGAACACTGCCAGGCAAAGCACGTTGTTCATTGTCGCTGCCCCATATAGCTGCAAACACACAAATAATGCACTTCATATTATTATAAGCCTTCATTAATTGTCACAGCAAGCATATAAGAAAAATGCCTGAATATATATAAATACTTTTCATCAATCGAGTTTGAAAGAATTTTCATTAAGAATTTCGTGTGTTAGGTTTTGGAAACAGAATGAAGAAATTTTAAGAGATAAGCAGGACCGAAACCAACAAAAGTTATGAAAAAAAATTTAAACTTGATACTGAGTGAAGGCATGAAATATCTATTCTGACTAAGAATCCCTAAACGGGTATTTAGGTAACCCAATAAGCACTTTTCAGAAGTATTTTTCTATAAATCGAAACAAATTCTTCCACATATTTACTTCATATACCGTAAAAACACTTCTAAAACCATTGTTTTGATCTTATCCAAACATCCCCTAAGTGTTGCTGTTACAAGAACTGTGAGACTGTGAATTGTGGGGTTTATACTATGAGCCTGGCATATCCATGTGTCGCGCAATGCAGTGCTAATGATGAAAGAAAAGCAAGCTAAACACCCAGAAATTGGAAAGATGCATTGATCGAAGGATAAATTAGATGTTTCTTAGACATCCCCGCAAAACAGAACTAAACTCAAATGGCAGAAGTTGAATGAAAAGGCTGGAGACCCTACGCTTGAAAGAAAAGAAGTGTCAAAACAGTAATAAACCAACCTCTGAAAAAGTTAAGGAGGCGGTCTGCCTCTTGTCACGGCTAGCAAAAATAACTGCTGACACTGCTTCACTGGAATTCGTAGCCAAAGGCAGTACAATGAAGGAAATGAAGAATGCAGGAATACTTGTGACGTCGGAAAATTCGTCAACAGCATCAACCAGAGGATCAGCAACTACAGCAGCAATAACTGTTCCCAGAAGGAGCAGCAGCACTGCTTTTATAGTATTCCATTTGGCATTCTTAACATCCTCAGCAGCTTCTTCAGCCGGACCCCCAACATCCAGTAGATCGTGTTCCCTCTTCGTTTCCTGCAAATGAAAATTCAGTCAGTTCTACATCCGTTTCCTGAAAGAATTTCTTTGGTCGAGTCTGTCATGGTAAAACTCACCTGGTGAAAATCAGTTAAAAACTTCATTGTATGTGGACCAGCATCACCAGTAGCACGTCGAGAGCGCTTAGCCTTAGAAAGCCATCTATTAATTCCGTTAAAAAACTCATCTTCATCAATAAGTGAGTTACGAGAAGTATCAAAATCCTCTATTATTTTTGTCACAGCATCACCATGGTCCAGGTCAACCTCTTCAAACTCAATTCCAATAACCAACGCTCTCAATTCACTGTGAGAAAGTTGTCCATCACCATTCTCGTCAATTTTTGAAAAAAGCCTATATGGATAATCATTAAAAGGAGATCAACGACGACCCAAAAAGCATAAAAATATGAAAATAAGACAACAATATGCTTCGAAAGTAATATCTCTGAGAAAACATCTTACTTCCTGATTATTTCTCTATCAGGTTCACCATCTTCTCTCAGCAACCTTCCCAATGCCTGCTGCCTTAAGTGTCTCAGAATTCCAAATATTACGTGCTTGTGTTTCACATAAGCAAGTCTTCTCCTCTGTATCCAGGGCTGAAAAACCTGCAAAATTTGACCCCCCCTAATTACTTTAGGTTGCAGGAACAATTTTCAATTGTTCATTGGTACAGACAATCTCTCACTTCGTATACAGTAATACTAATAGATATTGGAAGTGCTAATCCTAGAATCTAAGAAAAATACAACAGAACAATATGAGGATTTGGACACTGTTGGCACGGTATATGGGTTTACATCCCTTCCTTATTTAGGCCAAGTATACCAATTGGCTAATCACAAATGAAACAAACTAAATTCCACTAGGCATACATGCAACACATGCTTCCTTTTATCAAGGCTTTGTAAAGCATTGTCTCTATTTCTTTCATGGCATTGTGCTACTTAAAAACCACAGAGTAAGCATTGTCTCTATTTCTTTCATGGTATTATGATATATGACAATATTGACATTTACCTGGTAAAAGCAATAAGAAGCCAATAAACAAAGAGAGACAATAAGTGCAATTAAAACAGCCAAGTGCCTTCCAGACGTTGATTTGAGTAATTGGGGTATCTGAACAATCAGAAATGGAATGACAGATATAACCATGATCCTTGCAGCATAGCTTGTCCAAATATCAGTACTAACGCCAGAACCTGCAAGTTGGAAATATATTGGAGTAATTATTAAAACATCCACACTGCTGAGATGTATGACATTAAAATGAAATAATGAAGGTTCAGCAAAATAGATAAACTTAATCTCCTGCATTCATCCTTTTAAAATTTGAACAGTTATGCCCTAATTCAGGAGAAAAAATTGACGTATACTTGTTGGATATCACACCATGAGGTGAGATATTTTTTTAAGGTCTTCGACAAGAAAAGCTTAATATCAAATTTTTCGCAGATCCCTGAGAGGAACGAGGACATAAGAGACTTACCAGTTAAGCTAAATCCTCGTGTGTCTTGTGAATCTTTCGCAATTGAATCTTCTATGTCACACTTGCCAACAATTACACAAGTTCCCCATATTATAGTCAGAAGCAAAACTGTTGACCCTGCAAGCAAACCCATTCCAACAGAGACCTGACTTTGAGCGGTTTCTTTACCACCAGAAAGCCCAGATACTGGAGTAAAAACAAGATAAATAGATCAGAAACTACAACAATAGGGAGATAACAACACCAAGTGTTCGTTAGTTTGAGAGTGAACAAATATATAGCAATCTTCTGGCTAGTATGATGAGCACCACGAGATTGTGGTCAACATAAACAATGAATCGTGAAAAATGTCTCACAAAAATTGCTGCTTGTCAGCTAAGACTATTAGTTAAAGTCTTCTATTTGTACCTCTGTAATGCGATCAAGAAATAAATTCTTGAACTGCACACTATTTACTGAACTGAAAAGTCCGCTTCCTCTTCCCCCCCCCCCCCAGGACGCAAATTTCGTTAGTTCTTGGAACACTGAGAATGATCACCATTAGAAACAACTGACAGTTTTTTGAGAGATACACCTGAGGATATTTTTTCGTCATTCCTAAATCCCAATTGGCACAAATAATCATCAAGTGGAGAGCAGCGCACAAAATGTAAAAGGAGGTTGAGCAAATAGAAATTTGAAGAGTTTAAGCAAAGCATATAAAAACTAAAAGGTGGGAATGAAGCTCCAAAAAGAATGTGGATCTCATGCACCAGATTAATGGACCAAATCCTCATGCCCAGAGTTGCCCAGTATGAATAGATCTCGTTTTTTCTTTTTCTTTTTTTAATTTGGTGAAAGATCTAGTACTTTTATTTATACCTGAATTCTGAAACTACAATGAAGAGGACCCAATATGACTGAAAAAGCAAGGATACGAGATGGCAAGTCAGAATAGCATTAAATTGTGCTTATACATATAAATAGTAATTAATAGATAATTAATTTGATAAATATTTTAAGCATTCTATAATATATTTTCATTATAGACAACAAGAAAAATCACTAGACGCGGAGTTTTATTAATTGGTTTTTGTTCTATTAAAAATTATTAAAGATAAAATTAAAAAAAGACCATAAAAACTACAAAATTACAAATCAAGCATTTTGTCAAAAAATTAAAAATTGTTGTTATTTCATTTATGTGCTATTCAATTATTGTCAAAATCTATACAAATCTTATAATTGATCTTGATTTGGGATTTTGTAATTTTTATGGTCTTTTTTGTGATTTTTCCAAAATTAAATTGATAGGAAAAATAAAGGATTTTTGTTGGTCAAAAAAGAAAACATGATTATGTTAAGGAACCGTCTTATCAATACTTTTGTAAACACAAAAAGAAGAAAAATCCAAAATTTAGATGCGATTGACAACTGATTAAGTACACTTCTTCTATTTTAATACTGAAAATTTTATAACATATAATATGATAAATATGCTGGCAAAAAAATGAGTAAATATTGTTAAGTAAATACTTACATCATAAATAGATAATAATAAAATAAAATTATGAGAATCATAAATTACTTAACAAATTTGTTTTTAAGTAATTTATAAATTATTTTTGCGAATGGACAAATTTTAATTAAAGAATAATCAAACTATTCATATATCGCAAATAATTTAATTCGTTATAGTATTATATATAAAATTTATAATAAACTGCAATATTATAAAAATCATAAATAATAGAATTTTTATGTCAAGCATAAATAACACGAGTAATTTTATTAGACTCATGAATCTTATATTAATTATTTTTATAATAAATTCACAAGTTAGCAGAAAAATTTATTGATATTTATACTTCGACACCTTAAACATCATGTCCTGAGTTTGATCTTTGAGACAGCATGTATGGAAAAAAAACATTATTGAGAGGAGTCCCCGCTATGGCGTCTAGCAGTATTTCGAGATATTAGTCTCTTAGTAGAAAGATAGTTTGGCCAACAAAAAAAAACTCCTTTAAATTTTTTAATTTTCCCCCAAGGGCTGAAAGGATCCAAAAAAAAATTATGAAATATCCCATCTAAAAATTTTAAAATATTATCACATGAGTAGTTGGCCAAAAAAACAAAACAAGAAAAATGAAGACGATTGAACGAAAACTCTGATGCCTGCAGTATCCTCAACGCCGCAGGAAAATCTAAAATAATTAAATAAGAGAAATGGAAGCTTTAAACGGAGAGGAGTCATCTAAGAATTTTTCTTAGGCTTAAAGAAATCTTTCTTAATATCTACTTAAAGAGATTCAATTCAACGCCCAACATTCGCGGGAACCATAAAAAGAAATGGACAAAGAAACCGAATTTTATCTCAAGAGAGAAGGGAGAAAATTGTCTACTGCGCGCCGAATTTTCAGAGACGATTCAGAGGAGGAAACGTTAGGGAGAGTAACATGTTTTCCAGCTAACCAAACAGATCAAAGCAAATCCTTATCCGAATTAATGAGCAGACTGAAAACTCCTTAATATCGGTGTGATAAATATAACGCGGGTAAGAAGTAAGAACTCATGTGAGCTATGCATGAACATCTAGAGTTCTCGTTTTCGAACAAAAGGCGAGAGAAAATTGCTATCATGATTTCCCAACTATCCAAACATAAGGAAGTAGAATCTAGAACGTCGGAGATGGCCGGAAAAAAGGAAATCTAGAACATCCAAGAGAAAACAGAAATGCATCACGCAATTACTGATGCCTCCAAGAATTCATCTCGTTTTTCACTAATAATTCTTAGTTTTCGTGTTTAGGATGAAGGCGGCAGAGAAAACGCAAATTATTATCGTATTTTACTTCTAACCAAACAGTTAAAAGAGAAGTAAAATCCAGAGCAGAACATCAATGACAAAAATAAAAAAAGTACGACGACGCAACAATTGTTAAAATTTATAAGAAGACAAATTAAATCAGTTTTAATGATTCTACGATATCTTAATTTTCCATTTGCAGGATTAAAAACAGAAGTGTAATCATATTATACTTACCGAGAATGAGCATGGCATCGGGCAGAGCGCCGAGAACGGGAAGAAACAAGCCACCAACGATCCCGGGGCCCAATATCTCAAGCAACAGCTCGCTGCCATTGGACAAATAGGTAGCAGCCTTGTACATGAGAAAGCCATAGACGGCGATGAGGAACAAGTTTCCGACTACAGAGGTGGTGCAGGGCAGGAATCCATACGTCTGCTCGCAGGCAGACTCCTTCAACGGCGGCAAAAGTCGGAGCAGATTGTCCTCCGGAAAATCCCGGGAATGGTGGATCCCATTGGAAACAAGATTAGAGGAGGACGAAAGGAACCGAGCGTGAACCTGAGCAGAGAGAATTAGGAGTGAGAGGAAGAGGAAGAGCGTGAAGGCGAAACGACGAGACATTGGGGACGGCGGGGGATTGGGGTTCGGGAAATCTTCTAGAGGATGTGGATGTGAAGCATTTGCAAGCTTGCAGAGAAGAAGAGAGTGACGTAGTGGATATTTGAATTGCAATGAAAGGAAGTTTGCAGCGTGTGGGGACGGAGGATGCGAGGGGCAATCTGCGTCTGAATCGCGTCCTTTGCCGAAGGCAGAGTGGGGGGGAAGAGAGAGGGAAGGAGTAGGAAAGGATGGTCATGTGATGTGGCACCTTATCTAGCCTTGTTTATAACCTTTTTTTTTTTTTTAACCTCAATGGTCTTGTTTATAACTTAAATATCGGCGAAATTTTTTTTTAATATCATTTATAATTTGTAAATATTAAAAAAATTAGTTAAGTTAGTTACTTATAACAAACGAATATTATCTTTCTTAAAATATCCCTATTAATTATGTGCATTAGAATAGAAACTTTTTAGCATGTGCAATCATTATGAGAACTATTTTAGAAAAAATGAATAAGCATGAGAGGCAAAATGAATTAAGATATTATACTTATAAACAAATTGAATCTCCATCTGGCTCCTATATCTAGTTAGAGGTGGGAATCATGACCGGCCTTTCAGGGCTGGCAGACTTAAAAAGACCAACCCTTTAGGACCAAAATTTTAAAAATATCTCAATTTGCTAGGCCCGACCCTTAAGGTAACAGGCTCATGGTCGCCCCGCGGGCTTTTGGCCTATTTAAGAAAAAATACTATTTTTTATATTTCTTATTTTTTATCAAAAAATGAAAATAAACTTATAAGATTGTTAGTAAAAGACATAAATATGAATAAAATTAAGTCACAGATACAAAATATCATCGTATATAAATATCCATCAACATCCAAGAATATCTAAAACATTCATTAACAAGATAACAACATCCAAAAGTTTTATTTATCGTGCAATTGTGCAATAAATAAACATTATCATTAATTTTTTAAAACTTCACCATCACTATAATTAACTACTCTTCGTCATAAGTATACTTTTCTTTCGTAATAAAAATATTAAGTTTTTCTTCTTTATAGAAATTTTACTTTTAAATTTTACAATTTAGCTATTATCTTACTTTAATGTGAGAAATATTATTGTTAAAACTTATGAATTTCTAATTCAAATTATAGAATCACAAGTTATAAAAGTATAAAAATACTCTATTATCATATATATATATATATATATATAGTTTAAAAATATGAACGCATATAATATAAATCAAATCATTATTAAAGTCCAAATTAACCCATTTTTTAAAAATTTAATTGGATAAATTATTGTCTAAAACTAAATAAATCAAATCATTCTGTAAAATTTAATTTTAAAATGATAATAATAACTAAATATTTGAAATATTATTAATAATATAACACATTAATAATATTAAAATTACATAAAAAATTTATAAAAAGGGCCTAAACGGCCAAGGACAGGCCCTTTTAAACCCTCGGCCCTCCAAAACCAACCCTCCAGGGTTTATTTTTCATTTGAGGAAAAAAATTTCAAGCTCGATCTTTATAATTTTAGGGCCTAAATGGGCTGACCCGTTTTCCTGACTCTTTCTAGTAGGATGGAAAGTTGCATTTACACAGTAAATTTTTGTATTTGCAAGTGGCTTGATCGATGGATAAATGATTCTTTTATTTGGAACATGTAGGCAAAATTTTCATTTAGCGTTATAGATATAAGATGATAAATTAAAAAATTTAAATATATTTTAGTTTATTTAAGTTAAAACTTAATAAGATATTCAGGGGAGAACATTTATAAAGTATAAAAAAATAATTCTTTAAGTTGAAATAGAAATCGTTACAAAAATATTTAAGCAAATGATGCAAAATAATCAATTTTTAGGGGAAAAGCACAAAATATTTTTCTTGTTATAATTAGGTGAGAAATAAGATCGTCATGTGATGTGTGCCATTTAGTGTTTTATTAAAAAATTGAAATTTACAGTTTAATATTGTAAATTAGATAAACAATGTATTAAACGCTTTTAATACTAGTTTTTCAGTTAAAATTCGTAGAAAATTAATTATATCAAGATTAAGATAATCAATCTTGAAAAGGAAAACAACACAAAATCTTCTACTTTAAATTAGAAAAAAAAATGCCTTTTTCCTCATTCTGATTAGGCGAGTTGCCCAATTTTGTGTCAAGCTTGATAAACGAATTAACATTGCTTATACCACGTTATAATGGTAATAGTTTTTATAATGATAATATTGGTCTAGGTTTTAAGTTGAAGGATTTAATTTATGATTATCTAGAGCAACAAAACAAATTTTTACAATTACAATGTATAGTTATATATAAATCTTAATAATTATTGAAAAATGTCGTTAAATAATGATATACTTATATTGTTCAGTTAATTATTCCTTCAAAAAAATAGATCCAAATCCCCTCAATACTTTCTTTCTATCTCTTTTTTCCAAGCACATCCTACAATATTTCGTTTATAATAATGAATGCAGACTATTAAACCAAATATATATGGAAAGAAAATAGGGACCAAATCTTTTTTTTTAAAAAAAAAGTGTGGTGTATGGTTTATATTTAGTTTTTTCCTGATTAATCCTTGATTTGTTACGAATTGAACTCCTATGTTTCCCCCCGTAAAGACAAACGGCCAGTGGACAGATAACCAACTATAGTTAACTAACTAAGGGTGTCATTTTAACATGGGGTCGATGCAGAGATATAGATGCCTAATATTTATATATCTATTTAGTACTTGATTTTATATATATAAATATATATATTGTATTTAAGACGTCGTGTAACTAGAAAATATCAAGAAAAATATGCCATTGACTTTATGTGTTCTAATTTTGATTTTGTCTTATTCCATATTTACAGTGTGATTATGCGTCAAAAATTAATTTCACCATACTATTTAGTAATAAAAAAATATATTAATTGGATGATGTTTGAAAAAAATAATAATTATTATTGAAATAAATAATAAATGAATTAATTAAAAATACGAGTATTAAGATTTTGCGGTTTTGCTTCAGCTCCCACTTTCAGTGCTCTCAAATATTGACACGTAGATAAGACTTGGTGGGAGAACATCATTGCCATGACCGAATTTAGGAGCATGAAAATGAAAATGGAAATAGAACTGAAATTGGAATTTCAAAAAAAAAAAAATCGGAACCCTTATTATAGTAGAAATTATTTTATATATATTTCTTGTTATATAACTGTAAACTGAAAAAATAAATTATTAACTTCATTAGCACATCTGTAATTACAAAATTGTAATCATGAGATTCATTCTTTAGCTGTCTTCACAATTCTCTCTTAAATTATATATTTGTCTCATATCTATTTAGAAATGTTGGAAATTTGCTTCTTCTTTCTTTTTTGAAGTAAATCAAATATTTTTTTAATTGACAAAGGAAATTAAAAATCATACGTTCTTGAGAGAAATCACAAACAAATTGGGCTGCTTTGATATTTCATATAGCGTTATATTACCTCTTCCTTAATATAAAAACTTATTTGACTTTCAACTTGATCCTAGATATGAAATTCCAATTCATTTTATTTTTTATATTTATTTTTAAAAAATAATTCTTATAATAGTTACACATGTCAAAAATTCTATCAAACGGTAGTTTTAGTTAATACACATTATTAGCAAGGGTATTATAGGAAAGACAACACTGATTTATTACGAATAATTAACTTAACTAATTTTTTAATCCCTCAAATTAGTTAGGTAGGTCTTATACTACTCCTTATTCTTAATTTAATAGCTCGTTTGACTTTAATTTTAATATTAAATATAAGATCTTAATTCACTTTATCTCTTACATTTATATTTTTTCCTAATATAGTCATTATAATAATAATAGTTTTAACCAATATACTTAGTAAGGATATTTAAAAAAAACATTTATTTATTATAAATAATTACTTTAACTAATTTTTTTAATTTTCTTAAATTAATTAATTACTTTTTATATTAAGAACATAACATAATATCAAGAACGAGAGGTAGCATTTATTACTTGGTCAACATTAGCCATTAAAAAAGAAGGGAAGGAACCAAAAAAAGATCAGATGGTCAAACAGCAGAAGAAGTCTTTTACTGTATCACAGTACAGCCTAACCTTATCCTCGGACAACATCATTCGTCCATCGGGACTGGGGGTAGAATGGTAAAAGCATCCAAGAGCAGATTAAGGTCGACCAACTACCTTCCCTTTTTTGGGGGGTTGTTGAGGAATGGGTTGGAAAGTAGTAATAAAGTCACATTGAAAGATGCGCTTCAATGGAAGCTGCCGCAAATGGGAATGCTCTTGGATTGCATGTTTTCATCCAAAGTTTTTTTTATCAATATGTAAAAAAAAATTCCCTTCATCTGGCTCCTCATCATGTTCAAGGGCTGGAAATTGATCAAGAAGACAAAAAATCCTCTCTATCATATATGAATACTACATCCAATTCTTAATATAAAAATTAGATGATTAATTTAAATAAATTAAAAATTTAGTTAAATTAGTTATTTGTAATAAATAAGTACTGTCTTTCCTAAAATATTCTTACTAATTAAATATGGTAGTTACAATTACTGTTACTACAAAGACTACATTGAAAAAAATGGATAAATATGATAAACAAAATAAATTAGGATATTATAATTAGGACTAAAATAAAAGTCAAACTAACTCTAGATTAAGGATTGAATGTAGTATTTATAAGAAGCATGACAAAACCTAAATTTTCTCTAAAAGGTGTCGTTAATCAAAACCTGCTAACTTTCTTTAAGTGTCTTTTATAAATAAGAACAAATCATATTCAAATATTATTTCTTACATAAAAAGAAATTGATAGATACTCCCTCTGGTCCTATATATAAGCTTTAAATAACCGAATCACTTTTAACGAACTAACAATTAAAATTAGTTAGAAATAATAAATAGGTTAGAAATATATATTTTTCTCAAATTTACCCTTATTTATTGAGTGTAAATGAGAGAGGCAATAAGTAAAAAAAATAATGAAAGAGAATATATGGGGATAATATTAATCAGAGATGGAGTACTAAGTACAGTCAACTAAAAATAAAATAGAAAAAAAGGTAATAAATATTCAGATAAACTCAAAAATAAAGCTCATATTTTGGACCAGATTCCTCCCTAGAAGTGAAGTTTATAT